TTTTTTCTTAGAATTCTGACTTTTTTCCCATGTTAAACTGAAATAAAATTTAAAAATCAGTTTACTTTTTTTTTTTTCCCAGTGGCCCTAATCCTCTTCCGTATGGATGACTGAGAATCTTCCCCAACCTGAAATTATGGCTTTTAGTTTCAGTGTGCCATCCCAGGATTTGTAGTGGCCCCATCTGGCCACCCCATGAAACATTTCTGGAGGCGCCACTGCCCAACACTCCCCTTATTATAATAATTTTTTGCCCAATCATCACTATTAACAGCAGTATTAGCTGTAGTAGTGGTACTATTTCTAATAGTTGCATGAATGTCTGTTATTTATATCATTTTAATATTTCTGCTACATTTTAGAAAAATATATTTCCTTGGAGGTCCTTAAAAACAAGCAGATTTGGAAAAAATCCTCTTAAAAGCTAAAGGCTGTATAAATAAAAATTGATTATGTGATCGTTTTGTCTCTGAACACCAATAAAAACTCATTAAACATCAGTTTCAGTTATCCATTGAAATTTGATTAAAATAACGGCCGGTCGGCGGTGGGAGGAGAAGTGGGAGTGAACTCTGAGCTCTGATTGGCTGAGAAGCTTCCCGGAGGCGGGATAGTCTCGCCCTCGCTCAGCTCTGATTGGTCGGAGTGGAAAAAGTCACGCGCAACTTCAGCCTGTTAATTAGACGCCGGTTTTTTGAGCGTGAGAGCAGAAGGAGGGATGCTGCTGGTGTGAGCGGAGCTCCACGGCTGGAAGGAAGAAAAACAAGTTTAAATCCGGACTGAACTGCAGAGAAAGTGCTGCTGGTGGATTATCGGAGTCTGCTGCGGTGAACCGGATCAGACTGGGACCATGGTCCAGCACAGGGAGCATCCCGGAGCGGGAATCACCAAGGAGTCCCGCGAGGCGACGGACACCGAGGAGGGTGAGCTGCTGGCGGCTTCGGCCTGCAGCGCCGTGCCGCTGAAGCCGGACTGGTGTAAAACCGCCTCGGGTCACATTAAGCGGCCCATGAACGCCTTCATGGTTTGGTCAAAGATCGAGAGGAGGAAGATCATGGAGCAGAGTCCCGACATGCACAACGCGGAGATCTCCAAGCGGCTCGGGAAGCGCTGGAAGATGCTGAAGGACACCGAGAAGATCCCGTTCATCCGGGAGGCGGAGCGGCTCCGCCTGCAGCACATGGCCGACTACCCGGACTACAAGTACCGGCCCAAGAAGAAGCCCAAGACCGAAGGCTGCGCGTTTCCAGCGGGGAAGTCCTCCGCTCAGTCCCCGGAGAAAAGCGGCGGCAGGTCGGCGGTTAAAAACTCCGCGGCTGCTAAGAAGCTGAAGGCCGGGAAGAGCGCGGCTCCAGCCGGCAGGGCGGCCGGCCCCCCGCCGCAGAGCCAGGAGCACCGCTACCGGTACATGGTGAGCTCCGGGTTCAAGAGCAGCAAGCGGGACTTTACCGACGATGAAGAGGAGGAGGAGGAGGAGGACTCCGAGGAGGAGGAGGAGGTGGAGGAGGAGGAGGAACCGTCCCGCCTCAGCTTCCAGGTTCAGTCCGAGTCCTCCGGGCGGCTCTTCTACAGCTTCAAGAACATCACCCGGCAGGGCGGCGCCTCCTACCCGGCCTCCCTCTCACCCGCATCCTCCTCCCGCTCCGGATCCACCTCCTCCTGCTGCGGGGAGGACCTGGACGAGCTCCCCGCGGAGGAGAGGGCCGACCTGGCGCTGGGCTCCCTGGGGGACCCCTGGACCTCGTCCTCCGGGAACCTGAGCCTGTCCCTGGTGGACAAAGACCTGGACTGTGAGGGCAGCCTGGGCTCCCACTTCGAGTTCCCGGATTATTGCACCCCGGAGCTCAGCGAGATGATCGCTGGAGACTGGCTGGAGGCCAACTTCTCAGACCTGGTCTTCACCTACTGACTGACCCGGACCCGGAGGACCCGGACCCACAGGGACCCAAAGAAGGAACCGTTTTCTCCAACAGGGTTTTTATCCGTTTAATTTCTGTCTCTCAGGTCCGACCCACAAACCCGGAACCAGCAAGCAGCGTAAAACCAGGACCTGGTCTAGATACCAGGACCTGGTCCAGAACCAAGACCTGGTCTAGATACCAGGACCTGGTCCAGAATCGAGACCTGGCCAAGAAACCAGGACCTGGTCTAGACTTTGATCCCGAACCCATGACATGGTCCAAAACCAGAACCTGGTCCAGAAACCAGGACTTTGGTCCACAACCCAGGACCTGGTCCAGCTGCAGGACTTCAGGTCTT